TGGTCCAATAGACTTGTGGTCAGGTCTGGTTGTGATTCACTCTTGCCCCACTTCCTAGCTTGTGGCCACGGGCAGATCCCTTCTCTGAGCCCCCAGTTAGCTTCGTTTCACAGATCAGCATTTTAGTGTATGTCCTGACTCCGCCTCGTTGTTGTTGTGAGGACAAGACTTGGTAAAATCTTGGTAGAGCTGATAGGTAACCGGAGGGCTCAGTGCATAGAGCTGTACCTGGAAATCAGGAAGACCCGAGTTCAAGTTCAACCTCAGATACTTGCTGTTTGTGTGAGCCTGGGCAAGCTGTTTAAGCTATCTGCCTTAATTTCCTCATCTGTAAAATGGGGCTAAAAGTGGCACTACCTTACTTGTTAGGATAAAATGAGATATTTGTAAAGTGCTTTGCAAACCTTAAAGATTTATATAAATGCACACTATTATTATGCCATTATTGTTATTTATTATAAACCTTAAAATGCTGCTGAAATGGAAACTCTATTGCTGCTATTATACCCTATCTCCCTTAATCCTCTAAGCAGCCCTGGATGGGAGACATGGCAGAGGTTATTTTCCCATTTTAGAATTGAGGAAATCAAGGCCCTGGGACAGGAAACATTTTGTCTCCAGCCTTGCCCTGTAGGTAGTGAGTATCAGGTTAGGACCAGAACCCATTCTTCTTGACTCCCAGTCTGGAGCCCTGTCCACCCCAATCCCCAGCATACATCCAGGGCTTTTCTGGGAAGCAAACACCCAGACCCTTGATTTGCCAGCTGTCTTCATCAGGAAAGGCCTCCTTTTATGGAGGTCACTCTGGTTTATTGGGGGTTGAGTTTTCAATGATTCCTGGGCAGGCAGAGGGATTGGTGCAGCTAGGGGATGGGGTGGGGGCAGATATAATGTCTCTGAAAAGAAGGAGCTCCCTTAATTGGGAACAAGCATGGCCCTTTGAACCCTAGAAAGTCTGGGGCCATATGAAGGGACCAACCAAAGAGGAAAGCGTGGCTTCTCCTCAGTGCCTGAGAGCTTATACTATGTCACCAAAGAAAGTATGGGTTTTTTTTTCTCTCAGGGAAGATTCAGGCAGGCGTTTTGCATATGAGCAAACTTCTGGCTGGCCTGGAAGGCCCTAAAGAAGGGATGTTGTGGTAGGTGGGGAATGATAATAATATAGACCATGGAAAGAGTACTGACTCTGAAATTGGAGGACCTGGATTCAAATTCTGCCTCTGACTCTTATTTCTGTGTGAACTAGGGCTAGTTAGTTACTTAACCTCCCTGGGCCTCAGTTTCCTCATCTGTAAAATGAGGGAGTTAAACTAAATGACCTCTCACTTCCCTTCCAGCTTGAGGTCAATGATCTAACAGGCCCTGGATTTTACCTAGTGGCAGAACAGGAATTAATCCTACTCTGAGGAGAAAAGGATTTTATCTTCCTGTGACTGCGCCTTCCTTACTTTTACTTCCTTACTTACATCTCTTGCATTTGTTCCTTGGTCTGGTCTCCACCTTTGTTAAGCCTTCATCACCTCTTACTGGGACTATTATAGTGATTAATCAGTCTAGGCTGTCCCTTCTCTAATTCATCCTCTACACAGCTGCCCCGAAGCCCCAACTTCCTCTAGTAAAAGCCATCAGTGGCTCCCTATTGCTTCTATCATAATCGACAAAAATCATCATTTTGTTTTTAAAGCATTCCATAGTCTGGCTTCTATCTCCTGTTCATATTATCCCCCCTTATATACACACACATTCTATTCAATTTAGTCCATTTGGCCCGACATTTCATCTCTAGCCCTTGTGACTTTGCCACTATATCTTAAATGCATTCTCTCCTTGCCTCCAACTGGTAGGATGCCTAGCTTCCACCAAACATGGTCCAGACCACTTTCTACATAATCCTTTCCTGGTCCCTAACCCTCCCTACCCCACTCCAGGGTGGGATCATCCTATGAGATTACCTTATAATGCTCTGAATGTACTTTGCATTTGTTTTTGTCCACGGTGTTTTCCCTGATACAATGTTACACTCCTTGAAATCAGGGATTTTCATTTTGTCTTTGTATCCCCAGCACTTAGCATGGTGCCTGGCACATTGTAGTCGTTTAGTAAATGCTTGTTGAATTGAAAACACATAGGTGGGATGTATTGGACCCTTCCTGCTGAGTCTGGTCTTTGCACTAGCAAAGGAACAGGGGGTGGAGGAGGGGGGAGGGAGAGAGAGACAGAGAATACTTTCCTGTTGGAAAAACAGCCCGACTCTTGCACAATAAGGGGTTTTCATAATGTTTTCACTGCATGTTCTGTAACATGGAGACAGTCATCCAAAGCAGCCCTGGCAGTCTAGGTCTGAGGCAGATTTCATGCATCAACGGGTTTCTCCCTGTCTAGGACAGCAAATGTCTTGGGTACCAGTGATGATTACCGTTTTCCTTTGTGTTCAGTCTCTCTCTCTTCTGAAATAGTGGAGTTCCTGGAGAACTTTTAAATTTGAGCATCTCATCTGCACCAGGGATTGCTGCATATCTGGAACATAATGCATTCAGTAAATGAGAGCAGAATAGACACAAGCTTAAAAGTGGGAGACCTGGGTTCTAGTTCTCAGCTATGCAAATAACTTGCTATGTGATGTTGGACACAAGTCCAAGCTATCATGGTGCCTGATACATAGCAGTGCTTAATAAATGCCTCCTTTTTTTTTTTTTTTTTTTTTTTTTTGCTGTTGACAAATCCCTTCCCCTCTCTGACCTTGATCTGACAGGCAGCATGGTGGAGTGGATATGGCATTGGCTTTGGAGTCAGAAAATCTGGATTCGAATCCTGCCTCAGATCCTTACCAGCTGTGTGATTCTGGGCAAGTCACTTAACCTCTCTTAGCCTCAGTTTCTTCATCAGCAAATGGACATCATAATAGCACCTACCTCCCAGGGTTGTTGTAAGGATCAAATGAGATGATTATTTTTAAAGCACTTTGCAAACCTTCAAGCACCATATACATGCTAGCTCATAAAGATGAGGGGCTGCTGCTCTGACCTGAAGGAGAATGTCTCCACACAAAATTGGCAAGGCACTTGACCCACATTAGTTAGTTTGGGCTTTACTACAACTCTGCCAGATAAGTGCTATGGATATTAAAATATACCCATTTTATAGATGACAAAGCTAAGGCCTCACAGAGGTTAGGTCACCTAGCTAGTGTTGGAGGTGGGATAAGGATTCAGGTCTCCCTGACTCTGAGTCTTAATCATAATAGCTCTCATTTCTGGAGAGCTTTCAAACTCACAAAGGGCTTTTCTGACAACTGTATACCCATATGAAGGGAGTATTACAAGAGTTATTCTCCCCAACTTAAGGAAGGGGAAATTGAGGTCCAGATTGGTGGAGATTTGAACTTGATTCTCCCCTGACACGAGTTGAGCACTCTTTTCATAGTATCAGTAAGAAGCTGGATGAGAGATCCCTATCTGAAGTCAGAGTCAAGTGCAACCTGTCTCTCAGCCTAGCCCCAGATCCCACCCCTTGGAATCTGCTGCTGCTATTTTCATCCCCCACTGGCTCTGAGCAGCTTATATTTGGCTCCTTTCCCTCATCCCAGTATAGGAAGGCTTTTTGCTTTTGCTCAGATCTGTTGGAGCTGAAGCTTAAATGTAACAACCAACTACCATCCCTACCCAAATCCCAGAGACGGCCTTTTGAGCTCTACAGATGATGGGGTTGAGAGCTGGAAGGGACCTCAGATAGTGTCTAACCCAGTTGGCTCATTTTGTGGATGGGTAAACTGAGGCTCCAAGAGGTTATGTGACTTGCCCAAGGTAACACAGCTACTAATGAAGCTGCTTAGAAATAGGTGGTGGCACAGTGGATAGAGCATGAGGCCTGGAATTGGAAAGACCTGAATTCAAAGCCAGCCTCAGGCATATAGGAGCCATATGACCCTGGGCAAATCACTTTACCTCTGCCTGCCTCAGTTTCCTCAACTATAAAATGGGGGTCATAATAACACCTCCCTCTTAGGGTTGTTATGAGGATTAAATGAGGCAAATTTGTAAAAAAAAAAAAAAGTGTTTGGCACAGAGCCTGGCACGCAGTAAGTGCTCTATAAATGCTTATTCCGCCCTTGCCCTCCACCTAAGTGGCAGAATTTGAATCTAGGTCCTCTGCTTCTAGATCCATTGCTCTTTTCATCTACTCCACACATTTCCCCTCTAACTTCACTCATGGTTCATTAACTGTCACACCTTGAAATGGCTTTTAGAAATACTGTCAGAACCACCCCCCTCTGCTCCGCCCCCACCATCTTATTTTATAGACGGAAAAACTGAGGCAGAGGGAAAATGGCTTGCCCAAGGTCACAACACTAATTAATGGCAGGATGGGTGCTAGAACCCTTGCCATTGTGTTTTCTGTGGCTCTCTGCTTTCTTCTAAGACTAATCATCCCAGATGCCACTGGTTTACAATTTTGAATTAATCTTCCCCCTTGGATTCCAGTAAACTCAAAAAACGTTGATTATGCTCCTGCTATGTATTGGGCCTTGTACAGGATGCTGAGGAGAATACAAAAATAACGATTGTTCTACCCTCAAGAGGCTTACAATGTACTTGGGCCCTGGGTGGGAGTAAGGGGTAAAAGAAATGTACACAAATATGTAAGTATGATACAAGGTAGAGTGTAATGGGGGAAAAGAAGATCATTTTTGGCCGGAAGTGAGGACTCAGTGTCTGGTCTAGATGGAAAGGTATTTCTAGCTTCTGGAGGTTTTCCCATGGCTGATTATTCCTTGTTTAAAGCTAAGATTTTGTTTGGCATTTGGTTGCCTGTTCTTTGGTGCTATGTACTTGCCTCGGGGGTAGGTGCTGCGCAGAAACACACTTCTCTCATTCATGATTGGAAGAAGGTGGTGGGTGTTAGAAGCCACTGCGATCTACAACATGTTTGTGTCCTCACAGGGTGCTCTTTATGCCTCTCATGTGCTTCCTCACTGGGTGCTCTCTCTTTTTCTCTTCTAGTGTGTCCACCCTCATGTAAGTGGCAGGGCTGCACGGCGAGTGGACAGTGTTGCCACAGTGAATGTCTGGGTAACTGCTCTGAGCCCAACGACCCGGAGAAGTGTGTGGCCTGCCGAAATTTCTATCTGGATGGCAAGTGCGTGGAGTCATGTCCTCCAGACTATTACCACTTCCAGGACTGGAGATGTGTGAACTTCAGTGTCTGTCAGGAGCTTCACAACAAATGTAAAAACTCCCGGAAGCCCTCATGCCCCCAGTATGTCATCCACAACAACAAGTGTATCCCTGAGTGTCCCTCTGGCTACACCATGAACTCTACCAAGTAAGCACTAACCACATGGGGAGGTATGCATGCATGAGTTTGTGTGTTCTTGTATATCTGTGTTGAAATATTCATAGACCAACGTGAAAGAAAGGCAGCAGAGAGTAGAAAAAAGAATGCTGACCAGGGAGTCAGGAAGACCCGGGTTCATATCCCACGTCTACAGTTTACTATCTGTCTAATCTCAGGCTCTGTGGGTCTCATTTTCCTCATTTGCAAATGAGGGGGCTGGTCTAAAAGGTTTGTTCCAGCTCTGAACCCATGACTGTCAGAAACCAAACTCTTCTGTTTCCTAGTTTTGTGACCTTGGATAAGTCCCTTCCCCTCTCTGGGCCTTAATTTCCTCATCTGTGAAATGGAACATTTGGACTAAATGATTTCTAAAACCCCTTCCAGCTTTCAATCCTGATAGCACACATGATTCCTGTGGAAAAGGACTAACACCAGCATCGTTTGTCCTGGCTCAGACAGGCAGGTTACATTCCCTCAGGTACTGGCTAGCCAGGGTCCCTGGCAAGAGTAGAACAGTGGATTGGAGTCCTGAATACCAGTCCTAGTTGTACCTCTTACTACCTGCATCATCAGGAGCAAGTCGCTTAACCCTTCTGGGCCTCAGTTTCCCCCATTGTAAAATGAGGAGCTTGGACAAGATGATTTCTAATTTCTAATTCTTCTCTCTTGCAATCCTGTTGATGTAACTCTAGCCCTGGCTTCTAGAAAGCTTGAGAATTAGGCAACTTCTCAAGGCACCAGCAAGATAACCCATTTGTGTTCAGTTTTGTGCCTGGAAGATGATGCTACTCACATACAAAGGCTTCCATAGCCTGGGTCACACGTCAGCAGAGACCAGGGAAGGGAAATGGGGGCACCTTCTTACACCCTGCCTGCTCATGATACCTTGGGCCTTTTTCTCCAAAGTCATATCAAAGAAGAGGAATGTCAGTCCCCAAAACAACAAAACATCACTTTCATAGGCAGCTGGGCCTGTGCTTCCTGCGCCTGTCTGCATGCCCATCCTGTCCATCTCTGATAAATGTGTCTCTGCTCCAGGGCTCATCCTGAGGGACTGTATCCCTGAGAGAGAGGGGAGACCACTACCCCATCATTATTCATGGGACACACCTCTGCTCTTTGAAGGGCAGTGTAGCCAAGCCAGGCCACATTCAGGGCCACACTGCCATCTCCGTGAGAAACGTCCCAACTTTCTCACAGTGGGATCCTGCCCGGGGATGAGTCAGGCTCCCTAGCCGTGCTCTTGATTTGTGTTTGTTTATTCTTTGATTAGCTTCTTCAGGAGATTGGAACTGGCTTTTGTTATAGTCCATTTCCTGGTTGGTATTTTCTGTTGTGTTAAAAAGCACACCCAAAAGTCCCCCGGAGTATGAGGGAGCTCCTGATCTCATCAGAGCTTCCCCTTTCTGACCCATGAGCTCCAAGGGCCTGGTCTGCCTGGGGGCCAAAGTGGAAGGACGTGGTGGGAACTTTATTTTTCCTTTTTTTTTTTTTGTGCTAGGTACAGGCAAGGAGAGAGGAGAAGGGTGGAAGGGATTTAGGTCACATCTCCCCTAATGTAGGTTTACTGGCCACGTCATGTGATGGCTCTGAGAACAGTGTGTCTTGTTTTATTGCATTAAAAAAATGTTATCAGGTAACCTTGTTTTCCCAAAACATGTGCCTGCAAATCAACTTAGCTTAGCCTTCGGCAGCAGCTGCTTCCTGCCTACTTCAGACGATGGGGTATAGCAGGCAGTGTCTGCCTTCTCTCCTGTCTAGCATACCTTTGAAACCAAGAGCGGGATTCTTCATTTCCCCTTAGAGGCGGGCGTTGGTCTCCTACCCACTAATTAGCTTTTAATAGAAGGAGCATCAGTTTCATTATAAGTCAGGCTTGAGGAGTGAATGAATCATCATTGTCCCTTACAACATCTCAGAGTGTGGATTGCAGCCGCAAACCACCACAGCTGAAGATGGTTGGTGCTGTCCAGTGATTTCTGAAGGTTGGCAGATGAAGGGGCAGAAGTTTGTAAACTGGGAAGCCCTCAGGGCTGACTTGAGCTTCAGTGAGGATGGTGCTCTGGCTCATAGAATCACAGGATGGGAGATCTAGAAAGCTGCAAGGGATGTCTGAGATCTGTCCAATCCAACCCCTTCATTTTACCAATCAGAAAACTGAAGCCCAGAGAGGTTCAGTGAATGGCCCAGGTCATACAGGGAGAAAGTGCAGAGCTGGGATTTGAACTCACATTGTCTTACTCCAGATAAAATTTACTCTATTACCTCATAGCCAGTTCAGCAAATATGTATTACAGTATGTGTCAGGCACTGGGTTTGGTACTGAGGCTATAAAGACAAGAATGAAAACCGTCTCAGTCCTAGAAGAGATTTCATCCTAGGCGTGAGGGTCGCGTAGATGTGAAAAACTGTGGACCCAGATAAGTGAGTATAATATACAAAAAGAATCTGTATGTGCACATAAGTATATGTACTGATACACATGCATATGGGTCATATATGTACATATATACATTTATAAATGTATATATATACACATACAGAGTATGTGTGTGTATAAATGTATGAATATATAAAATATGTATAGAGTGAGAGACAGCACGGGGTTTGGATAGAGAAAATACTAGCTACCATTTATCTGGAGGCAGCTAGGTGGCACATTGGATAGAGGACTGGCTGGAGTCAGGAAGACTCATCTTCCGGAGTTCAAATCTGGCCTCAGACACTTCCTAGATGTGTGACCCTGGGCAAGTCATTTAACTACTGCCTGCCTCAGTTTCCTCATTTATAAAATAGGTATCATAAAAGCACTTACCTTGTGGGGCTATTCTGAGGATTAAGAGAGATAATATACTATGTAAAGCGCTTTGCAAACTTTAGAGCATTATAGAAACACTCACTATTGTTATCTGGCGATAGCTTATTTGACCACAGCATCCTATGAAGCAAAGAAAAATTCGGAACACTCTTGAGTCTGCTCTGGTCCCGTCTCACTTTTTCAGTGATAGTGATAGAGGGCCAGAAGAAATACAAAGATGGGAGAACCAAATATTTCCATTGCTGGCCCAGAGACCATTTTGACAGAATTAAGGGATAAGTTCTCATTATATCTGAACAATAGGAGGAAGCCTTTTCCAAAGGTTTGAAAAAATTCGTAGCACTTACTATAATGAAGAAGGGGGAGGAGGAGGAGAAGGAGAAATAATAATATGAATAACTACTGACTCATAGGCCTACTTTCCCAACTCTGCCAAACCTTTATCTGAAAGTGATCTATGCAGGCATCAAAGGCAACCTTGAAAGTATGAGGAGGGAACAGGCAAGGCTGTGGATGGTCAAAACAATATTCTACAACAGGACAGATTTTTAACCACAAGTGATTAAAAGGTCTAGAGGACACAAGATTCCACTGAGGTCATCGTTTGGCTTGATGTTTTAAAAAAAAAAAAAAGACAGGGGGGCAGCTAGGTGGCGCAGTGGATAGAGCACCGGCCCTCAAGTCAGGAGGACCTGAGTTCAAATCCAGCCTCAGACACTTGACATTTACTAGCTTGTGATCCTGGGCAAGTCAGTTAACCCCATTGCCTAGCCAAAAAAAAAGAGAGAGAGAGAGAGAAAAGAAAAACAAACAAACAAAAAGACATCTGATTTGGTCAGAGCTGTAAAGATCCTTCCCCTGGAAGGTGTCTCCCATTTTTATGGCAAAAATTATACGAGAATCCTTGGGAGATGTAACAATAGAGGTAAATATTCAGTGGCCCCCTTGATTGGTCATTTCAGGAGAGGCATGAAGCAGGGGGGATTGCTGCTGTCATGGAGGATATTTGGTGCAGAATCTTTTGTGGGGTGGAGCCCTTGGGCAGGCTGGTGAAGCCTAATTCTACTGTGGTTTCTTGCCTACATCCACAATGGAATGAAATGCTCAATTTCAGCTAGAGGTCAATGACAATAAAGACATAATTTTTTCCCAGGTAAGTTCATGGACCCCTTGAAATTTATCCAAGATCTGCAGGTTAAGAACTCCTGCTGTAGACAGTGAGGTTCCTAAGATGCTCTTGTTTGAGGCAGATGATACCATCCTGATGGCTGAAAGCCCAGAAATGTGCCAGAGTCTCCTAAATGGGGTCCATCATCACACCCCAAGAGTTGGTGTAACTTTCCAATTCTCCATCTATGATCCTCACAGAAACAAACAAGTGAATGAAAGTATCTTGTCCAAATGATGCTTTGTGGCTGGGTGACCAACCTAGAGCAAGCCTTTCCATTAATATATGTCTTTTGATTAGGGACTATACATGGTCTCAGAATTGAACAGGAAGAGGAAAGTAGAGGGATTTCCTTGGGGAAATTGCACTGTGTTTTTGGACTCCCAAGCTTCCACCTGAAACAATCACCTTTTTAATACTAATCATCTTCTATGATGCTGTATGTAGCTGTGGGTCATGGAAGGCCAGTCTCCAAAGAATTAAAGACACAGATCACCCCAAAGGTAGTAAGAGGGGCTGAGTTGGGGCGAATAGGCAGCAACATATCCACAAAGAATTACCAGGAATAACAGACACAAAGGACACTCTCAGAGACCAGCAAAGGAGGTGGGGGAGTCCTGTAGCAATAAAGATTGGGTGGGGGGAACTGGACAATCCACCTGCACCACTGGAATCCATACAATGTCAAGAGATCTGGGGGGAAAGAGAGATTTGGGGATGGACCCCCCTGGGAAGGCTGTACAGGGGAGGAACATGGACAAGAGTTGCCTAGGAGGGGATGTGAATGGACTGTGATCTTCATCGCTGAAAGAAGTGGCCCTAGCATCATTCGAGAGTCCCTCGCTCCACCTCTGACATCTTCTTTTTTAAGAACCCTCATAGCCCTGACATCCTTGGTTTAATCCCTTGTAATACTACCATCCTCCATTCTGTGGTTTCTCAAAGCTAGACATTCCCTGTTCTAAGGGCCCTCCCAGCTCTGCCATCCTGTGTTCTAAGGGGCCCCCCAGCTCTGATATCCTGTGTTCTAAGGGCCCTCCCCACTGTGACATTGTGTGTTCTAAGGTCCCCTACTTTGACATTCTATGTTTTGCGGGCCATCTTTGCACTAATGGTCTGTAATCCTGTTGTGGCTCATTTTTCATGATTATATCTAATATTGGTTACTTCCTGATGACAGCCAAGTAGGTTCTTTAATCTAATTAGTAATGTGTCCCAGAATCCTACAGTAGGACGATAACGTCTGGGAAGGTTTCCCATCAGTGAGGTGTAAATTCTCACTTATCTCCCTCATAGGATATCCCCTTTTTAATCCTTTCCCATACCACCACCTTCTTCTTGTCTGGGGCCCCTTAATCTTGAGGTTTGTCACTCTCTATCTTGGGGGATAGGTGGGGTGAGGTCCTTTTCTCTTCTGTGATGATATTCTGTGTGTGTGTGCATATGTGCATGTGTGTGCTATATATTTTGATTCAGACCTATGATAACATTGGGCAGCTAGGTGGTACAGTAGATGGTGTTGGACTTGGAGTCAGAAGACCTGAGTTTGAATCCTGCCTCAGTCCTTAGCTGTGTGACCCTGAAAAAGCCTCTTGACCTCTCTTAGCCTCAGTTTCTACATCTGCAAAATGGGGATAATAATAGCACCTACTTTCCAGAGTTGTAAGGACCAAATGAAATGACATATATAAATTGCTTTGCAAACCTTAAAGTATTATATAATGGTAATTGTTATTATTATCACTATTATCATCATCATCATTATCTTTGCAACAGGGTACTGCCAGTAAGGAAATTCCCTCTCCCAAGGCAGATCAGCAATTTCTGTGCAACTTCCAGTCTTAGAGAGTTGCCTGAAGGGGGAAGGGAAGAGAATAAGCATTTATTAAGGACCTACTGTGTGCCAGGCACTGTGCTAAGCACTTTACAATTGTTATCTCCTTTGATCTTCATAACAACTTTAAGAGGGAGATGCTAATGTTATCCCCATTTTACAGATGAGGAAATTGAGGCAAACAGAAGTTAAGTGACTCATCCATGGTCACACAGTTACTGAGTTATCTGTTTGGACTCAGGTTTTCCTGACTCCAGGTGCAGAGCTGTATCCACTACACCACCCAGCTGTTTCCAGTGAATCACTCTAAGAGGTGAAAGTACTTGCCCAGGGTCACTGAGTCAGTATATGTCAGAGGCAGCATGTGAACCTCGCCAGCTCTCTACCCACTTCTCCATATTGCCCATACATACAGCCTAGAAGTAACCCTGGGCTCTCAGAGGCTGGGCATCTTGAGAGAATGCCAGCTCTAGAAGGTTACCACATTGGAAAGGTCTTATGAAAGACTGGTGTCTTGTCATCTGAGGTCCAGCCCAGCTAAACTCAGAGAGTGAGGGCTGGCCACTAGAGGATTATGATGATGATGATGATGATGATGATAGCTAGCATTTGCATAGCATTTTAAGGTTTAAAAAACATTTCACATATGTCATCTTCTTGTAACACTGGGGGTAAGTTCTATTATTATCCCTATATTATATATGAGTAAACTGAGGCAGACAGAAATTAAGTGACTTGCTCAGGATCACATGGCCGGTAAACACCTGGGGCAGGATTTGAACTCAGGTCTTCCAGACTCCAGATGCAGAATAGGGACTATATGACTTTTTGTTGGATTCCTGTTCCACTACAGCGAGGGCTAGATGGTCTCTGAGGTGCCCTTCAAGGCAATATTCTGTGATTCTTTAAGAGAACAGACCGCTCCCCAAGTTTCGTATTTGTTCAGATACCCCAGATATCTTGTCATTAATATTGACAAGAGGCTGGTAGAGTTAGAGCTAGAAGTAACCTTTGATATACTCAGGCGGGATTTGAACCCATGTTGTCGGACTCCAGAATCGGCGCTTTTTCCGTTGAGTCACACTGCCTTCTTACTAGCTGTTGCCCCGGGTAACTAACTCACTCACTTAGAGCTGCGTCACCCCAGGTAAGTTTTTTCACCTTGGTAAGAAAGGCTCAGGCGGCAGGCTTCCGCCTTGCTGTGAAAGCCTCCTGTATCGTTTCGTTTCACTGACAGCCAGCTGGCCTGCATTCCCACAATGACTTGCTGTATACCACAGACCTGTTCTCTGTGTCTTGTCTCTTAGCCTGCATTGTTCTCCTTGCTCCGGTCCCTGTCCGAAGGTCTGTAACATCGAGGCTGACCGGACCATTGACTCCGTGCATGCTGCCCAGGCCCTTCGAGGGTGCACGGTCATCAACGGGAGCCTTGTCATCAACATCCGTGGTGGCAGTGAGTGTCTGGGGAACGGCTTGGGCACAGGACTTCTGTCCAAGCCGACATTAATTAGTGGCCAGCTCTATGTGGTGCTTATAAATAAGTGAAGGCGGGGGAGCCTGGGAGGTCCCTGTTGCTCCTGGGTGAGAAGAGTCTTGAAATCAGGACAGTGGCTCGCTTCTCTCTAGCATTAGACAATTGAGAAAGTGATTTCCATGATGCCAGCTGTGCACATCTTACCAGTTCAGCTGTTACTCCCATCCTGAGCACCAAAGGAGCTCCCCAAAGTCATCGGTCCAATGCCAAGTAGCAGAGCCAGGATTCCAAAGCCAGGGCTCTCCGTGGCACCTCACGCAATATCCTCCGGGTGACTGCTAGCTAATCTTCCAGCCATTCTGGCTGCCTCCTGGATATCTTCCAGCCAGACTGTTTAATATCACAGATAATGAGGAAATTAGAGCTGAGTAGAAATCATTTGTGTCAATATTCATAGAGAGAGGAAGGCTCAATGACTCGGACTTGTTGACGGTGTGTTCCCCCTTCTCCTCCCCCCTCCAGATAACATAGCAGCCGAGCTGGAAGCCAATCTGGGTTTAATTGAGGAGATCACGGGGTACCTTAAGATCCGTCGTTCCTACGCCTTAGTGTCCCTCTCCTTCTTCCGGAAGCTGCACCTCATTCGAGGAGAGACCCTGGAAATTGGGTAAGCCTGTCTTGGCGCCCTGAACTGTGGGCTTTTGAACAGAGCATTGGTTCTCTCTGTGTGTTTGGGGGCGGTAGGTATTCCCTTGAGGTTTTTAAGTAGGGGAGGGGTATCCTTTTGAAAGCTTCATTGACTGACTGAGGGAATGAACTTGAAGTAACTTAGATTGGAGTCTCCCAGAAGGTAGGGAACTCATGTTTTAATCATGTGTGTAAAGATAGACTCACAGGCCCACAAGTCACTCAGGCACAGACACATCTACAAGAATCATTTCAATTCAGTTAATTTTATTTCAGTTCAATTCAATTCAAGAAGCATTTGCGTAAAAAAAAAAAGAAAGAAAGAAAAAAGAAAAGAAACAGTACATTCCCTCAAGGAACATAATGATCTTAGGGGCAATAACATGTACACAGATAAGTCAAGATAAAATAAATGGGAAGTTCCGAAAATGGAAGGACCAAGGAAAGCCTCATGTAGTAGTTGACCTCTGGGCTGAGCCTTCAAGAGAGTGCCCCTCTGTGACCCTTCCAAAGATCCCGTGTCCCTTTTGTAGGCATGTGTGAAATATGGAGTCCTGGATCTCTGTATATGCACTCACATCTATACAGACACACCTCTAGTGCATTCAAAGTATATACATATATTGCTTTCCCGAGAGCAAACTTTCCACTTGTATAGATCCCAGTCAGTCTATAAATAAACACTTATTAAAGACGTACTATGTGCCGAGCACTGTGCTAAGTACTGGGAATACAAAGAAAAGCACAAGTATGGTCCCTACTCTTAAGACAGTCCTCACGGGTTTCTGTAGCTGAAAACAAAATCCATATATGGCAGCTAGGTTGGAGTTGGAGTCCGGAAAACCTGAGTTCAAATCCTGCTCCAGATACTTACAAGCTGTGTGATCCTGGGCAAGTCATTTAATTTCTGTCTGCCTCAGTTTGCTCATCTGTAATTTGGGGATAATAATAGAATTTACTCCCACAGTGTTGTTATGAGGAGATGAAATATGTGAAATGCTTTGCAAACCTCAAAATGCTAGCTATTATTATTATTAATTATCATCCCCTAGTGGCCAGCCCTAACTCTCTGAGCTTAGCCAGGCTGGACCTCAGATGACAAAACATTGAGTCCCTCATTAGGCCTATGTTCAAAGCCTTTCCAATGTGGTAACCTGCTAGAGCTGGCATCCTCTCATGGTGCCCAGCTCTGAGAGCCCAGGGTTACTTCTAGGCTATATGTGTGGGCAATATGGAGAAGTAGGTAGAGAGCTTGCAAGGGTTACTTGGGTTCACATGCTGCCTCTGACATATACTGACTCAGTGACCCTGGGCAAGTACTTTCACCTCTTAGGGTGATTCACTGGAAACAGCTGGGTGGTGTAGTGAATACAGCTCTGCACCTGGAGTCAGGAAAACCTGAGTCCAAACAGATACTCATTAACTGTGTGACCATGAGTGAGTCACTTAACCTCTGTCTTCCTCAGTTTCCTCATCTGTAAAATGGGGATAACATTAGCACCTCCTTCTTAGAGTTGTTATGAAGATCAAATAAGATAAGAATTGTAAAATGCTTAGCACAGTGCCTGGCACACAGTAGGCCCTTAATAAATGCTTATTCCCTTCCCTTCCCCCTTCAGGCAACTCTCTAAGACTGGAAGTTGCACAGAAATTGCTGATCTGCCTTGGGAGAGGGAATTTCCTCACTGGCAATACTTTGTTGCAAAGATGATGATGATGATGATAAATAATAGTGATAATAACAATTACCATTTTATAATACTTTAAGGTTTGCAAAGCACTTTATACATGTCATCTCATTTGGTCCTCACAACTCTGGGAAGTAGGTGCTATTATTATCCCCATTTTACATATAAAGAAACTGAGGCTGAGAGGTCAAAAGACTTGTTCAGGGTCAGACAGCTAAGTATAGAGGCAAGACTCAAACTCAGGTCTTCCTGATTCCAAGTCCAACACCATCTACTGCACCACCTATCTGCCCAGTGATATCATAGGTTGGAACCAAAATATACAGCACACATATGTACATGTATACAAATGTATACATATATACGTATATGTGTACATACATACTTATACACATAAATCATCCCCTGAGGTTCTCCCTAATGCATCATCTCAGTGAGGTTATCTTGGCTTCTCAATGGCTGTACCATAAGAATATCTCTCAAAGATCTCACCAGACTTGAACGGCTTTACGTACAAGACTGATGACACCCTATGTGTTGGCATTTGGGGAGTGTCTTAGTTAAGCTTGGTGAGGCTCATCACTAGGGCTGACGAAGCCCCAGGGCCTCTCAAAGACCATCCAACAAGTTATCAGGGGCCGTGATGAGCTCGAGAGAGGGAGAAACCCCACGGACAAACAGAGGTCCTTGAAATGGATGCATCAATTTTGGAACTCAGATCCAAAAATGTTTTTTAAAAATTAATAATTATTTTTTTAAATGGGTGTCATATTGCTTATCTTCCCAGTGGGTGGGAGGAAGGCTGGAGAGAGGGAGAAAATTTAGAATTCAAAAATTTTTTTAAAATGTTAGGAATGGAGCAGCTAGGTGGCACAGTGGATAGATCACTGGCCCTGGAGTCAGGAGGAGCTGAATTCAAATCCAGCCTCAGACACTTGACACTTAACTAGCTGTGTGACCTTCGGCTAGTCACTTAGCCCCATTGCTTAGCCCCGCCCCCCCAAAAGTTAAGAATAAATAAATAAGTTAAAAGAAATGTGCACATCAAGCATGCCCTTGTCCTGAGCCAAAGTTCCTGGTTCAGTCCATTGGCAAGCATTTCAATGCCTATTATGTGCCAGGCACCATGATAGGCATCAAAGATACAAACACAAAAATGAAGTGGTTCTTGCCTTCAGGGAGCTTATATTTTATCACAGTCAGACCTGAATTTTAGGAAACCCAGTCTGGCAGTTGTTCAGAAGATGCAGGGGAGGGTGATGAGATTTGAGGCAGGGAGACCTGTTAGAAGCCTGTGGAAGTCATTTAGGCAGGAGGTGAGGAGGTCCCGAGTTTCCTCCCACCTTTCCTTGTGTTCCCCTCCACAGGAACTACTCCTTCTATGCCCTGGACAATCAGAACCTGAGGCAGCTGTGGGACTGGAGCAAACACAACCTCACCATCGCCACGGGGAAGCTGTTCTTCCACTATAACCCCAAACTCTGCCTGTCCGAAATCCACAAGATGGAAGAAGTTTCCGGCACAAAGGGCCGGCAGGAGAGGAATGACATTGCGTTGAAGACCAACGGTGACCAAGCTTCTTGTACGTAAGACTTGGTTTGGGATGGCCTCCGTGGCGGGGTGGAGGGTGGAGCCCACCTATCCAGGAACTATCCAAAGATGGCTAGTAGCATGGTGGATACTGTACTAGGTTGGGATCAGGAGAGATCTGGGTTCAAATCTCACCTCTGACATTTACTGGCCTTGGGAAACTCATTTACCTTCCCCAAACCTCAATTTGCTCCTCTGCAGAATGGGGGTATTATCTGCCCTTCTTCTACCACAAAGTTACTCCTTGGCTCAAATGAGATCCTGCAGATCCATGCAGGGGGGCATGCCAATATCAGTTGTTAATTACAAGGAATAATAAAAGGATGACATGGGGCTTGGGGGAGTGAGGATGCTGCCCTCATCCCTGAAGGGGGAGGCTGTTCCCGATTAGCCTACTTTCAGTTCCATATTATGAGCCATGATGGCAGTGACCGTCATGGTGGATGAGGAGGAAGTGGGTGAGGAACCAGGGCGGGGAGTCTTGGCATTGGCTTCTTAAGACATTCTTAGTGAGGTAAAGTCTGTCTTTTACTCAGCAAGTAATTACTCAGATCTTACTATGTGCCAGGTACTGGGCTAAGTGCCAGGGATACAAAGAAAGGAGAAACCACCATCCCTGCCCTCAAGGAGCTTACACTCCAGTGGGGGAGACAACATGAAAATGACTATGAACATACAAGATATATGCAGAGTAGATGGGAGGCACTAAGTGGTGGGAGGCTGGGGGGAGGCCAGGTACAGGGAAGGCCTCCTGTAGGAGGTGAGATTTAAGTCTTGAAGGAAGTCGTGGAAGCCAGGAAGGGGAGGTGAGAAAGCAGAGCATTTCAAGCATGGGAGACAGCCAATACAGACACAGAGTCAAGAGATGGTATATTGTGGTTGAATCATTTCTCCCTTCCTGAGCCTCAGTTTTCTCATCTGCAAATTGGGAATAATGTTACTTGCACTGACTCCCTCATAGGGAAGAGAATAAATATTTATATAGTACCAGACACTGTGCTAAACACTTTGCAAATATTACTTCATTTTATCCTCACAACCACCATGCGAAGTAGATGCTATTAAGTGTCTGAAGCTGGATTTGAACTTGCATTTTTCTGATACCAAGCCTGGAGCTCTCTCTGCTGCCTGATCAGTGCCCGCTCTACAATTTGTAGTCTTACTGAATCACCTGGAGGGCTGGGAATTAAAGCAATTCCCCAGTCACACAGCCATTCTGTTTTGTTTCTTTTTGTTTTTGGTGAGGCAATGGGGTTAAGTGACTTGCCCAGGGTCACACAGCTAGTAAGTGTTATGTGTCTGAGGCCAGATTTGAACTCAGGTCCTCGACTCTAGAGCTGGTGCTGTATCCACTGCATCACCTAGCTGCCCCCTACACAGCCGTCCTGTCCGAGGCAGGATTTATACCAAGAGCCTCCTAACTCTGAGGTCTACCCCCTATTTACCAAGCCACGCCTCTCAGATATAAAATACATATATCCAAAACGGGGTGGAACAGGGAGAACTCAGACAGCTGCGGCAATCCTGGAAAGCTTCCTGCAGAAGGCAGCAGCATCTGGGCCAGAGCTGGGGATGTCGAGAGGCAGACTGGAGTAGGCAGAGCGGTGGGAGGGGGAGAGTGGCATGTTTGGGACGCAGGAAGGAAGCCAGTTTGGCTGAAACACAGAGTGCATTGGGGGAATCATGTGAAGTAAGTTCTGGAAGCCAGGCTGCTGCAAGATTGTGAGGGTCTTGAAATGCCAAGCAGATGTGAAATGATTAAGGATTAAACTTGCCCCCCAAGACGAGATGGGAGAAGATGCCTTCCTCTACTTTCTGTAGAGGCGGGGAACCCTGGCTATGAAGCACTGTATACTTTTATAGTTAGTTTTGCTGAAATTATTCTTTCTTTCTCTTTTTTTCCTTCTTTATTATAAGGGATGGACCTCTGGGAGGGGGCAGGAGATGGATACAGTGGGAAATGTAGGTGACATAAAGACAGATGATATGAGTCAAATAAAAGTGCCAAATATTTTCTCTGAGAGGCAGTACAGAGCACTGGAAGCTTCCTGAGTCAATGATTGACCTGGCAGCTGAGAGCTTGGTCCTCTAATGAATGGTGTGGCAGAAATACCCCAACCCTGCTGCTCCTTGGGCTTCCCTTTCTCATTGCCTCAGCTGCTAGGGAAGCTAGCAGACTTAGCTTCAGAGTTGGGTCTCCAAGGCTGCTGAGGGAATGATGCAACCCTGGGCAGAATTTCCTCTTCAAGTGGGGCCCACTTGTTGGTGTTTAAAGACACCACCAGCCAGGGCCTCTTACTTATTATTAGGAAGTCTTGTTGGGGGGAGTGTTAGGAGTCTTGCTGTTTGTTTGACACTAGCTTACCTGGAGTGTTAAGTAAACAGAAGGAGCAGGGCTCCTCAGAGTCTCAGAATGGAGACGTGCTCTCCCATTCTCCCCCTCCATGGGGCCTTGCTTGTAATAGATGTTCCATTTTGAGGTGGGGGAAGGGGGAGTGTATGAAGGAGTGGGTAACCGAGTGAAAGGGGGAAGGGATGAATGAGGAAGTAGATGGGTAAGTGAGAGAGTGGGCAAGAGGGATGGAGAGGGGCATGAGCGATTGTGAAGGTGGTGATCCAGGGAAAGGAATGAGTCAATTTCCAGTAATAGCTAATATTTATACAGCACTTTAGGGCTTGCTAAGCCCTTTTACAAATATTATCTCATTTAATCCTCACTACAATCCTGGGAAAGTAGGTGCTATTATTATCCCCATTTTACAGAGTAGAAAACTGAGTTGGATAATGGTTAAGTGACTTGCCCAGGATCACACAGGCCCAATTTGAACACAGATTTTCCTGACTTCTAGTCCGGTACTTTATCCACTGTGTCAAATAGGTACCTCTCCAGAGAGAATCCATCCTTTTTTGGAGGGAGCTGAATGTGGGCTGACTGCCTCTTGTTCTCGACCTTGGCTGCTGTGTCCGGGGGAGGGTATTTGTTCTGGCAGATGCTGATGCAACTCTATATGGGAAGCAGGTAGTGGGTGTGAGGATGACTGGGAATAGGAGAGTACAGTGGGAGACTAGAAAAATCTCCACTCCAACCTCCAAAGGTCAGAAAGCATCAGAGTGCCCTGGATGATCTGGGGAAAGGACTGCCAGTGAGGCTGGACATTTTCTGCCTCTCAGTTGAGAAATTAAAAATACTACTATTACTACTACTACTACTACTGCTACTACTACTACTACCACTACTACTACTACCACTACCACTACTACTACTGCTACTACCACCAGACATTTACTTAACACTTTAAAATTTGTCCAGGGCTTTACTTACCTGTCTCATTTGATTCTCCCAGCAACCCTGGTAGGCAGATGCTTCAGGCCTTATTTTGCCCTTTTTATAGATGTGGAAACTGAGGCAGAGAGAGTTTGGCAGCTGAGTTGAGGGTAGACTAGAGTGGGAAGAGACTTGAGACAGACAGGGAGAGCAGATCTACACCAGGGTGACAGCTGTGAGTGAGTGGGGAAAAGGGGACATAAAGGAGAGGTGTTAAGAAGGGAAAGAGACAGAACTGGCTGAATGATTGGATACATGGGGTGAGTGCAAGTGAGGAATCAAGGATGAAACTGAGGGAGGGAGGTAGAAAGGAAGGAAGGAAAGACAGAAGGAAGAAAAGGAAGAAAAGAAAGAAGAAAGCAAGGAAACAAGTCTGCTATGTGCCAGGCATTGCACTTTAGAATTAATAATAATAGCTAAAATTTACTACATTCCGGGCACCATGTAAATACCTTATGATTATTATCTCATTTGACCTTCACAACAACCCTGGGAAGTAGGTGCTGTTATTATCCCCATTTTACAGATGAGGAAACTGAGGCAGATAGGGGTGAAGTGACTTGCCCAGGCTAACATAGTAAGTGTCTGAGGCTGAATTTGAACTCAGGTTGGCTTGACTCCCCAGCTCTGGGCTCTAGCCACTGTGCCATCTAACTGGGTGACTGGGAAGATGGCAGAGCCCTCAATACTAAATGGGTTTAACATGTTTGAAGCAGGTCCTCGTGGGAGGCAGAAAACACATTTTCACACTCTCGTGGACACAGGTTTGCATCATGGTGTCTGCTAAGTCACAGGCTGAAGGATTAGGGCTGACAATGTAGTGGTCGCTATGATAATCTTCTCCTATCTGCCACCCACATCTTCCTAGAGATGGTTTCAGTGAAGAGCTCACATCCGTGAAGGGGCTGGACTCCAGCCCCTGAGGACCCTTTGGTCTCTGCATCTGGGATCCTGTGATCTGACACTTTCAGTTACAAAAACCCAGTGATTTTTGTCCCCCTGCACAATAGTCTGCAAAACATGAAACACAAAAGAGCAGGAGGGGGCTGGTGATTTATCCTAGGACTGGGCTGGTCTGAACTCCTTCCCTTGCATTGGAATGCTGCCCAGTCTTCAGCAGCTGGGCCACCTGGGGCACTTAAGACCTCTTGGCCTCCATTTCTTCATGTGTGAAATATGGGGTTTGGACTCAGTGACTTCTAAAGTCCTTTCCACCTCTAAACTGATGGTTCTAGGAATATGAGCTGGAAACAGTAATAAATAGCTAGCATTTCTAGAATGCTTTAAAGTTTATCAAGTGCTTTACAAATATTATCTCAGTTTATCATCACAACAACCCAAGTGGTAGGTGCTGTTATTATCCCCATTTTATAGAAGAGAAAACTGAGGCAGACAGATTAAATGACTTGCCCAGAGTCATATAGCTAGTAAGTGTCTGATGCCAAATTTGAATTCAAATTGTCCTGACTCTAGGTCCAGTGCTCTATCCACTGTGCCATCTAGCTGCCTAATTAATATTAAATTATTATTATGCTAATATTAATCATATTAATTTAATATTGCTATTAACAGTAATAATTAACATCCCATCAAATATTAAAATAACAGTTATGATAATAAATATTCCATAAAATACAAGGTATGAATAATAATAATTAATAATTGGTTAATTGGTTGGTGATTATTTCCATTTCTATAGTGTGTAAAAAAAAGTGATGTTTTTATGCATAGCAAATACCTAATAAATGTTTGTTGTATTGAATTGGAAATTACTATCCCATGAAATGGGTAACAAAATTCTTATTATATTCATTTTTCTGGTGGGGAAACTGAGACTCCCAGGTAAGTGACTGCCCCAGAGTCACATAGCTAGGCAACATTGGACCTAGGATTTGAGCTCAGGTGTCCTCACCCCATGCTATCTCTATGATTTCAGGGGGTCACCACTTTCCACAGACACTCAGGGACAGGGTGGTTTCCAGAACCCCCAGGTTTTTCTGCTAATACTCTTTTTTGTACCTGTATTTCCCCAGGTGAAAATGAGCTACTCAGGTTTTCTTCCATCAGAACCTCTCATGACAAGATCTTACTGAGATGGGAGCCTTATTGGCCTCCTGATTTCCGAGATCTGTTGGGATTCATGCTGTTCTACAAAGAAGCGTGAGTAGAAACATGGAGCTGGGAAACCATGAGGAAGCCAAGGGAAACAATTGAAGGATGCCTGCTATTCCCCCGACTCCCCAAACTCGCTCTTCAAGTGACTATTGTCTCAACTTATTCCCTAATTAAGTGAAAAATAGGAGAAAGACAAGCGTGTAGCCATCTGTCCCATATTTGTTAATTAGTCTTCTGATCTTGGCTTTTTGGATTACAATGTGAATTCCTTTTCTTCCCATCGATTCATATAAATCCTCCCATATTACTCCAACTTCTTCACATTCATCATTTCTAAGAATGAAGTATCTATTAAGCGCCTACCGTGTGCCAAGTTCTATGCTAAGTTCTGGGATGGTTGGTTGTTGTCCTTGGTTCTCGAAGAGGACCAAAATTACATCACTGTGCTAGAGACAAATTCCGGTATGTCTGTCTATGGCTGATCAGACCAATGTGAGCTCAGAATGTTCTACCACAGGTTGGGCACAAATAGTCCATGGGAGCATTTGAGATGGATTCTATGAATTTGAGCATTTCATGTTTCTTTTGAGCTACTTCAATTCTGCTTTGCTCATAGAACACAGCACCTTCTCTGATGTGGGCATGCCATGCTGGGCAGTCCTGTGCCTGTGTCTCCTATGTCACACAATCATTTCCAAAATTCTTAAGAGAGACCTTGAGAGTATCCTTGTATCGTTTCTTCTTACTGCCATGTGAATGCTTGCCCTGTGTGAGTTCTACGTAAAATAGTCTTTTTGGCAAGTGTACATTTATATTCAGACAACGTGGCCAGCCCATTGGAGTTCTGGGGATAAAAATCCAAAAGCAGAGGCAGTCCCTACCTCCAGGGAACCACCAATCTAATAAGGAGAGATGGCATATAGAGAGAAGTGATGGCCAGGAAATTGGTATTTTGGTCCAGAAAGTTCCCAAGATGGTGAGTGGAGACATAGTTGAGTAGATGGTTGCACCTTTTCCAGAAACAAGGGGCAGAATGGATGTGATCATGGTTCCTGATTTGGAGGACAGGGTTGGGGAACCCTGGGGAACCCTGGTGTCATTTGGGGAAATGACCTGGTGTGGAATCCCGAGTCTCTGGTCTGGGACACAAGGTGTTTGTTGAGCTTGTTGAAAAGATGGCTGAGGAATAAGGAGTGATGTCAAACATGGCTGAGGCCAGAGAGGCAGTAGGGTCCTGGGGCAGAAGCTCCAGAGATGAAAGAGTTAAAATCTCCAGGACACAGAGGAACCTCTCTAGGTCAGGAGGCAGGGTGGCTATTGAAGGCTGGCTGTGAGCTTTCTTCTGGTGCAATAATATATACACAGCAGGGTTCTTTCAGCCATTCCCCAATCAGTGGGCATCCATCCACTTTGTTTCCACATTTTTGCAACCACAAAAAGTACTGCTCTGAATATTGTGGTAAATATGGGACTTTTTTTTCCTGTCCTTCATTCCTTTTGAGTATTGACAAATTCTTATAGAAATCCAAATTGTTTTTCAAAGCAATTGGCTCATTTCACAGCTCCACCAACTGTGTTAATGTGTCTGTCTTTTCCCAGCCCTTCCGACATTGACTATTTCCCAAATTCCCTTACAGTCTTGAAATTTAAACTCCATCATAGGCTCCTGATTCAAAGATATGAAATCTTTGTGGGAGGAAGGGAACATGGGGATTTTGGAATCCCTCTTTAGTTCAAAAGTGAGTTGCTGGCCTTTTCCCTATCTAGCAATGGTTTATCTCTGGGGTTTGAATGGTTTGAATGGATTGATGATATTCAGTTGTTTCAGTCACGTCCAACTCTTTGTGACCTCATTTGGGGTTTTCTTGGCAGAGATACTGGAGTGGTTTGCTGTTTCCTTCTCCAGCTCATTTTACAGTTGAGGAAACTGAGGCAAACAAAATTAATTGACAGATCCAGGAGCACACTGCTAGTAAGTGTCTAAGGCCAGATTTGAACTCAGGAAGATGACTCTTCCTGACTCAAGGCCTGGCAGTCTATCCACTGTGATAACTAGCTGCCCTAGTTTGAATGAATTAGGCCTTTTTGAGGAAGCAGCCTAGCATAAGGTAAAGAGTGCTAGAATTCCAGAGACTTGAATTCTGATCCTGACACTGCCGAGACTCGATTTTCTCATCTGTAAAGTGGAAATAATAATAACTGTGCTTTCTACCTCAATTACAATTTTGCTTTGTTTAAAAAATAATTTTTTAAAGTAATTTTGCTTCTCTGCCCAAGAAAATGATTTTTGTACAATAAAGGACAGAACAAAGTGAATAATAGGTCACTGAAATCCCAGATAAGTAGACAAGAGAGTAAGGGATCACCTAGTTAATGGTGTAGAGTACTGAGGCTGGAGTCAAGAAGACCTGAGTTCAAATCCAGCCTCAGACACTTACTAGCAGTGTGACCCTGGATAAGTCACCTGACTTCATCAGCTTTTGTTTCCTCAACTATAAAATGGGAATAATAATAGCACCTACCTCCCAGGATTGTAATGAGGATAAAATGAAACAATTTGTAATGCACTTGACAAACCTTCAATTGTTACATCAATGTTTATTATTAATTTGTTGCCCTCAGTGAGTTCAACTCAATGTAGCCACGTAAGCTGGCGGATGTGATTGCAAGATGGCAAATGTGATCTTTGCAAGATCATGCAGAACGGGATGAGGTGTTGCAGGACGGGAGAAGGGCAAATGTCCTACTTTTTTTTTAAACGAAGAATTTATAAACTAAAAGCCTATCAGTTGACTTTGCAGCTCGTCACCTGAAAGTTCTACATCCCTCTTATTTACTTTATCGAAGGAATAGGGTAACTAGACTCTCATTTTCTTTTTGTTTAGAAACTTGTTCTATAGTGTCGGATTTACCCATTGCCCTAATTCTTCTAGAGTACCATGATACTAGAGGTCGAGCCAGGCCTTCTCCAGAGAGTAAGCTCAGCCTGGACAAGTTGGGCAGCTGCCCCAGATTCTAGCCAGCATTCTACCGGGATAATCCTTTATTCTTTGTGTACTACCCAAGGCCTTACCAGAATGTGACCGAGTTTGATGGCCAGGATGCCTGCGGGTCCAATAGCTGGACAGTGGTTGATGTTGAACCCCCAGTGAGGTCGAATGATCCCAAGACACAGAATCAACACCCAGGGTGGTTGATGCGAAACCTGAAGCCATGGACCCAGTACGCCATCTTTGTGAAGACCCTGGTCACCTTCTCTGATGAACGGAGAACCTATGGTGCCAAGAGTGAGATCATTTATGTCCAGACCAATGCCACTGGTGAGTTGTCATTTCATGGACATGAAAACCATTTAGGGGATTGTCGCAGGCTGGTCATCCAGCCCACAAAGGGCAGGACCCCTAGGTAATACACATATTTGCAACCAAGCCCAGTGCTTCTTTCCCCCTACTCTCACCCCCAATACTCAGCATAATGAGGAAATTGTCTTGAATTACTAACTGGCAAAGAAGAGTCTCTGTCAAAGAGGGAAAGATGTTCCCTGCGCTAAGCACACTGGAATTTAGTCAGCTGAGGAAAGTTCGACTTCATTGCAAACTTTTTGCCTGTTCATCATGTTCCTGATTTGTGTCATTGATAAAGTTCTCAACCTAAGAATGTTCCTTTCTCTGGAATGGTCTTTATCTCCATGTGGTTAAGATGGCATCATGCCATGTATAAAACTCTGATGTTATGCTCTGATTCCCCAAGGAAGGGCTTCTTTGCAAATGATAATTGGGATGGTAATTTTCATCCCGTTTTTAAAATAGATTTTTTGGGATACCTTTTGTTTTTGTATCATAGGCATTTCTCAATAGCTTTCCTGCTCCACGCCAAATAAGCCCTCCCTTTTAAAAATAAAATAAAATAAATCAGTTTAATAAAACCAACTTACCCAGTGACATTGTATGCAATTCCCTACCATTATGCCCCACTCCTCTACTGAAGGTAGGGAAAGATACTTCCTAATGTCTTCTTTGAGGTGAAAATCGGTCATTATAACTACTCAGCATGTGGCTTTATTTGAGCAGTGTTTTTGTTCACATTATTGTAGTCATTCTGTTTATTGTTCTCTTATTTCTGCTTACTAAATTCTTCATCAATTCATGTAAGTCTTCCCGTGCTTTTCTGAATTCCTCCTATTTGTCATTTCTTATGGCACAATAGCATTCTATTACATTTATATACTAGTTTGTTTCATCTTTTCCCAATAGGCACCCACCAGTTTATTGCTACCATGAATGTGCTGCTATAATTATTATGGTATACATGGGACATTTCTTTCTGTCTGTCTTCTACCATCTTGGAGTTTAGACCCAGTAGTGGGATCTCTAGGCCAAAAGTTATGAGTGAATAGCTTAGTCATTTTTCCTCATATTTCCAAAATGATTTCCCAAATGATTGGATCTGTTCACAGCCCCACCAATAGTGTGTTAGTATGCCTGTCTTCCAGCAGCCCCACCTACATTTGACTATTCTGTCTTTTGTCATCTTTGCCAATTTGTTTTCTTCCTATTTGCAGTTCCTTCAGTCCCATTAGACCCAATATCCGTTTCCAATTCTTCATCCCAGATCATTTTAAAATGGAAACCACCCTCTGAGCCAAATGGTAATATTACGCACTACTTAGTGTACTGGGAGAAGCAAGCTGAGGACCTTGAGCTCTACGAACTTGATTACTGCCTTAAGGGTGAGTAGGTCGACACCTATGTGTACATACCCATCCAGGCACACACACACCACTCTCTTAGGTCCTTACATGCTTTACTGAAGGGTCATTATTCACAGAGTAAGAAGTACAAAACCTTAGAGTTGGAATAATAATAATAACTAACAAATAGTACTTTTAAGGTTTACAAAGTGCTACATGTTTTATATACATATGCACACAGATAGTGAGGTAGGTGGGGAGGAAGGAATAAGCATTTATGTGTGTGTGTGTGTGTGTGTAGCTCACTATATGTCAAGCAAGTGTATGTAAAGCAAATGTATATAAAGGAAAATGCTTTACAAATATTAACTCATTTAATACTGTTATTGTCCTCATTTTACAAATGTGGAAACTGGGAGACCTAGAGAGATTCAGTGACTGACCCTGGGATTAGGTGTCTGAGGCAGGATCTGAATTCTGTTCTTCCTGCCTCTAAGGCTAGTACTTCATCCCCTCTGCCATGCTGCCTCTCAGGTCAGCTACTTCAGGCCCCTCGTTTTACAGACAAGGAACCTGAGGTTCATTGAGGTCAAGTGACTTGGCCAAAGTCATTCAAGTCTCAGAGACTCCTGTATTTGAATCCTGTTCCTCTGACTGAAGCTGCCATGCTTCTACTATACCCCACCACCATCAGAATCACAGATCTTTAAAATATGGAAAAGCCTTAGTTCAACCAAGTGGAATAAGTAGATTGTAGCTACACTCACATTAAGTAGGTTGATTGCCTTATACTACATCAGTAAAGAGTGACTTCTGCCATTGGTTCTCCCTGCTAATATTACTTGGGCCAATCTAAATGTTCCCCATTCTGTGTTTGGCAAGATCAAGGCCACAAGAACTTGTCTTTACCCAAGACCTGCTGAATAGGCCAGGTAGTACATCTGGTCCCCAACAGGGGTCCCCAAAGTATGCAAGTCTCTCTGGTTCTTTCTCTAAAGAAGTATGGGTGGGGCAGCTAGGGTGGCACAGTAGATGGAGCACTGGACCTGGAGTCAGGAGGATCTGAGTTCAAATCCGGCCTCAGACACTTGACACTAGCTATGTGACCTTAGGCAAGTCACTTGATCCCAATTGCCCCACCAAAAAAAAAAAAAAAAAAAAGGAGAAGAAGAAGTATGGGTGACCTGAGCTTACATTCAAGATCTGAGTTCAGGGTCTGCTGTTTTACTAGAAATCACTATTGTCATGATAAACAGAGAGGAATCTGTTTATGCCCATTGTTAATATAGTTAATTAGCAAGCTAATGATTTTAAAATGCTTTACCCTTGTAAAACACTATATAAAGAACTGGCTATAGAGTGAATCTTTTCCTAAAATGGGGGAATCTTGGACCTGGAAGGGATTTCCAAGATCACCTAGTCCAATCCTCATCTGAGGCATAAATCCCTCCAATACCATTCCTGAGAAGGGTCATCTTCCCTCTGCATGAAGCCCCAGTAGAATGTAAGCTCTTTGAGGGTAGGGATTATCTTGTAAATGTTTGGACTGAATCAAAAGCCTCCAGTAAAGACAAACCTAACAAGGCAGCCCATTCTGACTTCAGACAACTCTGATTTTTCAACTGTCAATTCAACAAGCATTTATTAAGCACCTACTGTGTGTCAAAGGGGGTGGGATCTCCGAGATGACCTAGCCTCATCCCCTCATTTTACACATGAAACTAAAGTCTAAACAAGAAAGAAGAGATGGCCAGAGTCACCCAAGGAATAAGTGTCAGAGCCAGGATTTAAGTCAATGTCTCTTGATTCTAAATGCAATGATCTATGCCAGAACAGCCAGGCTCTGGTCAAGAATCTGACATATTATTACTTGGTTGATACACAAGATGAGTTTTATATGTATTTTGCACATATCTGTATGTGTACAAACTGCCCTCATATTAGAATGCAAGCTCCTTGAGGGCAGGGACAGTTTTTGCTTTTTCTTCCTATCCCCACTTCTTAGCCCATTGCCTGGCATACAGAAAGTGCTTAATAAATGTTTAGTGATTTATTGATGAGGAGGACAACTACAATAAGCATTCATTAAAGTGATGTATATTCATGTTGAAATACAGTAAACATGCACTAAGAATTAGAATGTGAGCTCCTTGAGGAAAGGGACCCACCTTTTAATTTAGTAGAGTGACCAGCATATAAGAAGTACTTAATAAAAGCTTGTTGATGAGTGATTAAGTTACTGCTAAAAGCTGTGAGAGATACAGAGTTTATTCAAGACCTAGTTCTTCATGGACCCCACTATATAGTAGGATTAGAAACAAAAACTAATGATGACTGAAATAAACAATCTTACGTTGCTCCTTTTGGTAGTACAAAGTGGAAGGATCTGTTTGGCCAGGTTGTGGGAGTGGATTGTTCCTAGTTAGGAAAGTAAGACAAGGCTTCATTGAGGAGGTGACTTGTGACCTGGGCTTTCAACTCTAGGTAGGAATTTGGAGCTGAAGATGAGAGGAGGGGCATTCCAGGTACGAGGGAAAAGGTCTCTTGTGTCCTTTGGTTCAAATTTGTCTCCCTATAACACTATCAGCCACTCCTGGTTCTGCCCTCCAGGGCCAGCTAGACCAAGTCGCCAATCCCTCTTCCACATGACAGCCTTTGAGTTCCATGAAGACCACTGTCAGGGCCCCCTCCCCCACCTGAAGACTTCTCCAGCATAAGAGAAGCATCCCTGCTTCTCCATCCGTTCTGTTTTGTGGCATGATTTCAAGCCAATCAGTCTGTTGCCAGGCATCAAGCTAAGTAATGGAGATACAAAGAAAGGCAAAATCTTAAGGCCCTTCGCTGTCCTGGTAGTTTAAAACTCTGTCTCCTCTTCCACTGTAGATGGCTTTGGGAATGGTTACATTACCATTTAGACCCAAAAGTACCTGAATGAGAATCCCTTCTGGAGCATCCCTAAGTAATTGTGCAGCCTTTCCTTGATCTCCAATGACAAGGAACTCACTACCTCCCACAGTGGCCCATTCTACCATGAGATTGCTTTAATTATTTAGGGAATAAGCATTTTTATAGTAGCTACTATGTGCAAGGCACTGTGCTAAGCACTTTACAAATATGATCTCATTTGATCCTCATGCCCTGTGAATTAGGTGCTATTATTATCCTCATTTTATAGTTGAGGAAACTGAGACAAATATAAGTGACTTGTCCAAGGTCCCACGGTTAGTAAATATCTGAAGAGGGATTTGAATTTGTGTCTTCCTGACTCAGGGCCCAGTGTTCTATCCACTAGGCCACCAACTGCCTCAAACTAGGAGGCGAACAAGCCTGATTTTGCCTCTGTGCCTTTTCCACCACTGCTCCTCATTCTGCTTGACCCAGAGGGCAAAACTTCTTTCTTTCACATGACAGCCCTTCCGATATTCAAATACTTGAAGACAGCTGCCTTGAACTCCTCAATTCTCTTCTCCAGATGAAACATCCCCTGTTCCTCCTACATTCTCTGATGGCCTGAGATTAATTGCAAAACAGAACATAGTTGTATGCAGACTTACCTGTTCGTAATCTATTCTGGGATCTTCAGAAGGCAATGGGACAGCACGGGATAATGCTGTTGCAATCATAGACTAGTTGTGTATGTTTTCCCAGGAGAAGCAAAATGCTAGGTCATTGTAAGTGATAGAGGAAGATGAACATTTTGAGGAGAGTCCTTTACAGAGAGGAGCTCAAGGAATTGGTGGTGATGGTGGTATTAAAAAGAGACCTTTATTGTCAATGAGTGAATCAATCAACAAGCATTTATTAAGAATCTGGAATATGCCTAGGGGGCACTTTGGTGGAGATAGTACTGGGCCTGGAGTCAGGAAGACTCATCTTCTTGAATTTAAATCTGGCCTCAGACATTTACTAGCTCTGTGACCCTGGGCAAGTCACTTAACCTGATTGCTTCAAAAAAGGAAAGGAAGGAAGGAAGGGGAGAGAGAGAGAGGGAGAGAGAGAGAGAGAGAGAGAGAGAGAGAGAGAGAGAGAGAGAGA